AGTGACTGGCGGAAAAGGAGTGAGCCTAGGGCCGGCAGATTGCGACGGAGGATACGAGAGATCCCCAGTACAGGTCTCGTCGTCGTACGGAAAAAGTTGAGTCTGTGATATGATGGCTAACGGAGCAAAACCGAATGCTGGAAAACTTTTGTGGAACTGAGGTAAGTTGGCTGTATATATACACGTATGTGCTTGTTAAGATGATTAGCTGACAAGCTCCACCTGGGCCAGACTGATTGATTATCTGATCGTGCTCCTCCCGAACCTTGTTAATAAAACATCATATACCTAAACATTTGACAAATAAATTAAGACAAAAAATGTTATTAGTTAAAATGTGTTTCTACTTTTAATGCATAAATATTACACAACAACAAGGAATTTGTTCTGTATGGCTTTTTCTCTTACCTTCAAAGACATGTGGTAGTGTTAAAAGTTTTGTTATGAGTTAAAAACTTTTTGTTATGAGAATGGGGTCACTCAGGACTATTTGTCCACTGCATTCTGTGCAAAACATTTCAGAGGGTACAAATTCTTTTGGAGGGTGGTGCTCAAATGATGGTGTCAATACATCCTTGGGAAGTTCGGCTGGAAACTTCTTGAATTTTTGGATGTATGTTGCAGTTCTTAACAACTCTTTTCCTAGTGGATACCTATCATGTGAAACCTCCCCCTCTTCCAGATAATTACTTGTGTTATCCTCCACTGGTTCTGTGGATTTGATAGATTTGGTTCTTAACAGCTCTTTTCCTAGTGGATACCTATCATGTGAAACCTCCCCCTCTTCCAGATAATTACTTGTGTTATCCTCCACTGGTTCTGTGGATTTGATAGATTTGAATAGCTGGCGTTTGTTTTGGAATAAAAACCATTTTGCTATGTACTTATGTATACAGGACGCCCGTGGCTTAGCACAAGGACAGTGCCAGCTATTTTTCCTTGAGTTATAGGCCACCATCACTCTTCCAACACGACTATAATATGATGGTTTTTGCTCCAAAACAGAAACATAGTGGACTGTGTCAGGTCCAATGTTCACAGATACGGCAAGTGGAGCAAACCCAGCATTCTTAAGCCGTTCTAAACACATGGCTTTTTTTCTTCTCCAAACCAATGTGCAGCCACCATTTCATTCAATGTGTTTTCTTCCAGAGTACAATAACTGGAAGGCACAGAACAATAATCCAGTGATCGTTGATGGCAACATCGAAATGTCTGGTGTCCACTTCTACCAGCAAATTCAGAGTAGAGGCAACACTCCTCAAGCTCACACTCAATGTGCTGTTTTGGCCCTTGAATGCTATGCTTGACATGAATAGGAACGGGAGGTCCACGAAATGCCTTTGCCACTGCATAAATGCCTGATTGTGGGTCTATAGGCTGACTCTGTAAGTGGTATTTTTTTGTGATGTCTGTGAACTTTGAAGAATGCCTTCTTTGCATATGGCGCTTCAGATTTTTCAAGTACAAAGACATATTGCAGTGTGGACACTCCACAATTGTTTGGCTTAATTTATTAACTCTAACAGGGCGCTGGGTCATATTCTCACAACGAATACTACCAGGCTGGTCCTTCACAAAGGCAGGGCTTGGTGTGGAGACATTGCTGGGCTTCGATGTGGAGACGTTCCCAGGGCTCGATGTGGAGACGTTCCCGGGGATCAATGTGGAGACGCTGCTGGGGCACGATGTGGAGACGTTCCCGGGGCTCGATGTGGAGACGTTCCCGGGGATCAATGTGGAGACGCTCCCGGGGCTCGATGTGGAGACGTTCCCGGGGCTCGATGTGGAGACGTTCCCGGGGATCAATGTGGAGACGCTGCCGGGGCTCGATGTGGAGACGCTGCCGGGGCACGATGTGGAGATGTTCCCGGGGCTCGATGTGGAGACGCTGCCGGGGCAGTACGATAAATGACTAAAGAAATCTTTTCTCCTTATCCTAGTGTCTTTACAGCCTGGGCAATGGAAATGGGGTGACACCCTGCAGTTTTGGTGGCATTTGTATATTCTGAAACCTGCACAGGGGTTAAAAAAAGTTTTGCAGCACATTGCAAAATAAGATAAGTGTAGTACTTGTGGTGGTAATGATGTTTAAGGCTGACTGTCATCTAAGTCATCATACATGATTCTTTGATACACTGGTAAATTTACATTTGTACAAGAAGCTCTTACCTTTATAGTCCAAAAATATATTACAATGCACAATTGTATGTGCTTTTCCCTGGCACTCATATTCTGTCTGGAAATGACAGACAGGACAGTGGAAGCATCCATCCTTATACTGTACAGAAAGTGCCTGTCCAGAAAAAAACGATTGATCCATGTACCTAATAAAAAATACATCAACATATTACTCTCATTGAATTTTTACACTAATTTATTACTCACTATTAACAACACATACTACATACTTTTCCTTAAGCACTAAACACACATACAGACACACACACACAGTGCAAACTGCATGAATAATGACGCCGATTCATCGATAGTGTAAAAATCCCTTACTATTAATGCCAAGTTCACACCTGAACACAACAAACCTACATTTATGTTTTTCATTAAAGCTAAAACAAACTTTAGCCTATGTGCTATCATACTGCATGACCGACTGCTTACCTGAACCGCCATTCTTTGGCGCGCTATGAATGTCGTGCCTGTCTGTCAATGCGAGGAAGCCACGCCCTGTTTTGGAGTTCCCGCCCCCATTTGGAGATCTCCGGTCTGCAGTTATATCTACTTGTGAAATTTGGCACACTGATAGAGGACAGTCTCAACATAAACCACAGCAAGTTTGGAGTCTCTAACGCCAACTCTCTAGCGCCACCACTTGTCCAAAGTTTCAATTTCTTTATGCTAATAACTTTTGAACCATAAGGCACAAAAGGAAGTTAGTCCAATTTTCACCAAATTTGACTCTGATCATCTTCAGACCAAGCAGGCAAAAAGTTTTGGATTTTGTGTCGATATACGAAACGGTTTTCGTTTAGAGCATCAACGAATTTGCTGGTTAAGATGCCAAAATGCATCTGAGGCTGTATCTCTGCAAAGCTTTGACGTATTTGCACCAAACTTTGTATGTGCCATTGTCACCTCACACTGACCACGCCACATCAATTTGGTAACAGCGCCACCTATTGGTCAAGAGTAATAAACCATTGATTTATTATTATGAAATTTCCAAAAATGCTAATAACTTTTGATTGCATTAGCCTATTGCAAATGAAACTGGTCTCAAAATATTCCTTGGCCTATGCCGACAACAGACATACCAATTTTCCCTTAGCAAATCCGAACTGCCTGTCGGCCATTTTGATTTATGCTGTAAACCTACTTTTTCAAACTCCTCCTCAAGCCTTGGTCCGATTTTCACCAAAATTGAGTCAAATCATCTTCAGACTGTGCTGACAAAATGTTATGGATTTCGTGTCGATAGACGAAACCGTTTTCGTACAGCGCTGCTACAAATTTTAGGCATGGTGCCAAAATGACTCTAAGGCTATATCTCTTCAAAGCTTTGACATAATGACAACAAACTTTGTGTGTGCCATTGTCACCTCACACAGAACACACCAAAATGATTTGATTACAGCACCACCTGTTGGTCAAAAGTGATAAGCCATTTAATCATATTACTAGTGGTTGTATTTATGATTTTTCAGCCATTTCAATTACAATCATCCTAAAATCGCTTTTATTACTCATTGTTGCATTTGGTCTGATGCTCCATGCCATGCTTAGCTCCTCAATTTGCCTCTGGAGTGCTTGGCCCCGTAATTGCTGCTTGCAGCTATATTTTTATTTTTTTTTACAGTGTGGATTATCTTTGCTAATTTTGTTAAATGAATTCTACTGCTGCAACCTACTGTTTACCCAGCTTGTAGGATAAATTCATATTTAGAAATTCCTGATATTATGTTTTAGAAAACGGAATAGGGGCAATAGTCTGGAAACATAAGCATTTTTCCATACGGTGCTTTATTGCTTGACATATTATTGAACTTTTTTGAAATGTTAGATTAAGTCCGACCCCGGAAAATGGAATCTGTCAAAAATATCTGCTTTGTCTGGCATTCAAACAAGCAGTCAGCAGCTATCTAATACCCAAAACCTGTTAACAGCAAGACTTGTCTTGACTTCCCAGAACTGTATTAACAGTCTTTATCAGTCAAAAAGTTGACTGAGAAAAGGCAGACAAGGGCAGAATCAGGTGAAGAAGTAATGATGATAAAAAATGACCCCCAAAAAAAAGTGTTATTATACCACAAGCAGCAGCAAAGGAAAATTACTGCTTCACCACATCGTCCTGTGATGTTAAATACCTTAAATGGAGACATTCTCTTATCTCTTACTTGCGTAAACTTAATATTCCTTGAAACCACTCAACTACAAGATCATAACAGAGGAAGGAAAATAATAACAAAATAGCAATAGCTAAAATAATTACAAAATACATAAACACCAAAAATGACAATAAATGCATATAAGAAAGAAAATAAAACAACACAAATGTAGGGTTGCTCTCCTGAAGTAACGCGCGCACACACACACACACACACATGCAAAGAATTGTCAGATTCAGTTCATTGAGGACGCAGCATCGCACCTGAAAGCACAAGATCTGAACATGAACTAAACATGCCTTCATTGCGTGAAACTCTTCTCACATGACTGGCAGTGATATATGGCTTCGATCAAGTGTGGACACTCTTGTGTCTTTTCAGGTTTCCTAAAATACTGAATGTCTTGTCACAGTGTGAACACTGGTAAGGTTTTTCTCCGGTGTGAACTCTCTGGTGCAGTTTCAGTACAGAGAGTGTAAAAAAAGTCTTTCCACACTCAGAGCAAATGTGATCCTTCACACCGCTGTGTCTTTTCTGGTGTACTTTTAAACCATTCAGGTGTCTAAAGCTCTTTGCACACAAAGAACATACGTGAGGCCTCTCCTCTGAGTGAATTTTCAGGTGGTCCTTCAGGGCATCTGGCCTAAAAAATGTTTTACTGCACTGGTCACAGTTATAAATTCTTTCTCTAGAATGAGTGAGCAGATGCACTTTGAAAACACTTGACTTTCTGAAACTCTTCCCGCACTGATCACAGGTGTGCAGGTTTTCTCCCGTGTGGATTTTTATGTGATCATTAAGGATCTGTTTTCGTGTGAAACTTTCCCCGCAGTGATCGCACGAGTGCGGCTTCTCTCCAGTGTGGACTCTCATGTGTTGATCAAGGAGGTGTTTTTGTCTGAACTTCTTTCCACACTGACTGCATGCGTGCCGTTTTTCTCCAGTGGTTATTCTCCAGGGCTTCTCTCCGGCGTGCATTTTTATGTGTTTATTAAGGTTTCCTTTATGTCTGAATTTCCTCCCACACTGATCACACGCGTATGGCATCGCTCCCGTGTGGATTTTCATGTGTTCATTAAGGTTTCCTTTATTTCTGAACTTCTTCCCGCACTGATCACACGCGTGTGGCTTCTCGTCAGTGTGGATTTTACTGTGTTTGGCAAGGTTTGCTTTTTGCCTGAAAGTCTTCTCACACTGATCACATTCGTACGGCTTCATTCCACTGTGAAATTTCATGTGAAGATTAAGACTTTGTTCGCTTGAGAAACTCTCTCCACACTGAGGGCAAGTGAAACATATTTGGGCTCTTGTTTGCAACGAGGGATTCAAGGATGCTTCATCAGTTTTGATGTCATGATGTTTCTTCCCCGCTTCAATCACTTCTTCCATCTCCTTGTTCTCTTCCATCAGGTCTAAAATTAAAGTTAAAAAATAGTAAACATTTTTTAATTTTCATTAAATCATTAAAAATGCCAAAATGTAAAGGGAAAAATAAGTGAACACTGATACATTAGCAGAAAGTATGATCATTTTGACGGATTCGTTTTAACTGTGTACGCTGATTTTAATAGCATTACAGTCAGAAATATCATGTCTCTGCAGTGAGAGAGAAGTGTTAAATATTTGATGAGCTACATTTAACATTTTTCAAGTCAGGGTTGTAAAACGTTCCAAATTTAAGTAACATTAGCTATGTTTCCATGCATTTTGGAATACTGCATAATAAAAAAATGCTGGAACGTCAAGATGCGCAGAAATTCTAAAAATGTGCATTAAAAAAACGTATGCGCACATTTGAGCAGGATACGTCGAGTAGGATTTTATCCGATAAGAAAACATGCACATGATGGAAACACATTTACCGAATAAATTCCTCCATGCACATCAAAAAAAAAAAAAGTACTGTGCGCTACGAGACCAGCGCTAACCAGCGGACCGATCTTGTTCACAGCATCTAAGCTGTTATGGAAATTCTGAAAAGTCTGTCGTCAAAGTATTTCTGTATAATTGTCTTATACGACTGCGTTCCCAAACAGCAGCATACGCCTCCGAAAGCAATGACTGCATTTATTGCGTTGTTTCGAGGTGCAAGTAATTTATCATATATGACAATTATTATATTGAGTGGTTTGCGCTACGAGACCAGCGCTAACCAGCGGACCGATCTTGTTCACAGCATCTAAGCTGTTATGGAAATTCTGAAAAGTCTGTCGTCAAAGTATTTCTGTATAATTGTCTTACACGACTGCGTTCCCAAACAGCAGCATACGCCTCCGAAAGCAATGACTGCATTTATTGCGTTGTTTCGAGGCGCAAGTAATTTATCATATATGACAATTATTATATTGAGTGGCTTCTCCTAGTTTTATTAGTGATATTTAGTGCCAGTTTACCAGGAAGTGATGATGGAACGCCAATTTTTTTATGCGATATTCCAGTTTTGCGCATAAATTTAATTCGAATCTTTGGATGGAAACATAGCTATAGTTGCAAAAATTGTGAATCAGTTCGCAATCAGTATGTATGTTTCTCAAACCTCTTATTATTGGTTGAAAACCAAAAGAAAAGAAAATTGAGTTTTATGCTCCAATTTGCGCCCAGTTGATATTATTTGCTCTGAAGCTGCAGTACAGAAGAGTTTAAGCAATCAATTATTGACCAAGTACATAAAAACAGTAAAATGGTAAGCATATAGGGTAACCACCATCAGCTAGGACTGTGCAATTAATTGAAAAACTGTTTCGATTTCGATCTCCAACGATTATGAAAATACAGTAATCGAGATAATCAAGGATGGTTTTCGTGGGAAATGTCAGTCTCGTGACATTCATCTTTATATGATGGCATCACATTCTTAAAGACCAAAAGAAGAAAGCTTTTCAGAGATTTCAACAGGCTTAAACTGTAATAGATGCAAGATATCTTAGTGCAGATGTTACAGGGAGGAAAACTTCACAGCAGTAAATAAACACCTTATCGATAACACGGTAAGGGGTGGAGATATTGTACATAATTTATGCACCACTATCAATATACGGGGTCTTGCTTTTGTAATGAATTCACACTTGCAATTTACTTTCGCTTTCAAATTCACAATCACAAGATATTAATCGATGACATTCAGGATCTGTTGCGCACCAAATCATCCACCATGGTCTTGTCAGTCAATTCATTTTGAGTTAATTCAGTGACTTGCTCAAAGACTTTTCATTAATGGATGAATCAGCATTTTTGAACGAATCTCTTGAACGAATGATTCAAAGACAAGTACATTTTTAACAGCTATTTAACACGATTGTCGAGAATCATTTGATTGAAGTGGTCGTAAGTACCTAGGTACTATTATCGATAATAAATTAAATTTTGTAGAGAATACTGATAGACAGTGTAAGATGAGCCAACAAAGACTTTATCGTCTGTGGAAATTAGCTAAATTTAATATTGATAGGACACTGATGACTAAATCATAATTATCGATTATTCCCTTGAAATTGTAATTGCGATTATTAATTACGATTACCACAATTTACATCGAACGACGTTTATACGATTGTTGAATGCAACTGTGTGCCGTATTTTTATTTGAAAATAAACAAGCTGAAAACACTCTAACTGAAAAAAACGTTAGTGCTTTACTATAGTATTAAGCCTCGAATATCAACTAATACATCGGATTGGTTGCTTCTTTAAAAAAAATCATCAAATGTGTTCTACTGAAGAAACAAAGTCACCTACATCTTGGATGCCCTGGGGGTAAGCAGATAAAACATCACATTTTCATTTTTGGGTGAACTATCCCTTTAACTAACGTACTCTATGATTAGCTCAGTGAATAATAATAAAATAAATACAAGCGGTGAAAGGGGCGTTCCTGTAGCGATATCTCACGGTTCTCAACCAATCAGATACATAATTTATGCACCACTATCAATATACGGGGTCTTGCTTTTGTAATGAATTCACACTTGCAATTTACTTTCGCTTTCAAATTCACAATCACAAGATATTAATCGATGACATTCAGGATCTGTTGCGCACCAAATCATCCACCATGGTCTTGTCAGTCAATTCATTTTGAGTTAATTCAGTGACTTGCTCAAAGACTTTTCATTAATGGATGAATCAGCATTTTTGAACGAATCTCTTGAACGAATGATTCAAAGACAAGTACATTTTTAACAGCTATTTAACACGATTGTCGAGAATCATTTGATTGAAGTGGTCGTAAGTACCTAGGTACTATTATCGATAATAAATTAAATTTTGTAGAGAATACTGATAGACAGTGTAAGATGAGCCAACAAAGACTTTATCGTCTGTGGAAATTAGCTAAATTTAATATTGATAGGACACTGATGACTGCTCTTTGTAAGGCTTACATTGAATCGATTTTAACGTTGTCATTGATTTGTTGGTTCCAAAAATCATAAGTGTCGATTATTCCCTTGAAATTGTAATTGCGATTATTAATTACGATTACCACAATTTACATCGAACGACGTTTATACGATTGTTGAATGCAACTGTGTGCCGTATTTTTATTTGAAAATAAACAAGCTGAAAACACTCTAACTGAAAAAAACGTTAGTGCTTTACTATAGTATTAAGCCTCGAATATCAACTAATACATCGGATTGGTTGCTTCTTTAAATTATATTAAAAAAAAAAAAGTACAAATATGAATGGTATTATAATGTCATACTAAAATTAAAATAATGGGAAAAACCCTTAAGATAACATGTAGAAAGAAAAAAAACGCAATTTAAGCACATAAGTAGACTTCGAACGATTAATCGCCGCTTTGAACGCTTACATAATTGTGGCATTCCGTAATTGTAATCGCGATTATAAATTCGATTAATTGTGCAGCTCTTCTTAGCGTTGTCCACTTGCGATCGGATCGACGAAAACGCATGTTCTACTTCCTTCCGCCACGGATTCAAAGCTCAAGCTGACAGTTAAACATACGTCACGTTTAGAATCCGTATCAAGGGCATGTGCTGCTTCAGTTCGGTTATTAGTGAGAAATAATGAGGTTATAAGAGAAAAACAATGCGGCAAGTCGTGCATCCAAATGAGAGACCGCGAAGCTAGACGTTTCTTCTTATATTAAAGGGATAGTTCACCCAAAAATGAAAATGTGATGTTTATCTGCTTACCCCCAGGGCATCCAAGATGTAGGTGACTTTGTTTCTTCAGTAGAACACATTTGATGATTTTTAAGTCCAACCGTTGCAGTCTATCAGTCGTATAATGCATGGCAATGGTAACAAAATCTATGAGAGTAAAAAAAACATGCACAGACAAATCCAAATTAAACCCTGCAGCTCGTGACGACACATTGATGTCCTAAGACACGAAATGATCGGTTTGTGCCAGAAACCGAACAGTATTTATATCATTTTTTACCTCTAATACAGCACTATGTCCAACTGTCTTTGAGCGCGCACACGGCATCCGGTGCGTGAGGTGTAAAAATGATATAAATACTGTTCGGTTTCTGGCACAAACCAATCGTTTCGTGTCTTAGGACATCAATGTGTCGTCACGAGCCGCAGGGTTTAATTTGGATTTGTCTGTGCATGTTTTTTTTACTCTCATAGATTTTGTTACCATTGCCATGCATTATACGACTGATAGACTGCAACGG